ATTGAACTGTTGTTTATCATTGCAATACAGTTTTATGGGTGCTGTCTAGATGAGGAGGTCTCATGTGGGCAGCACAATGTATCTAGGGATTTTACTTTATAGGTACATTGTTTCAGGGGGTGAAGAGTGGAGTCGTGGGAACACAGGATCAGAACAGTCTCATTGGACCTTGACCGACGTCGGGATTTTAACAGAAAAATGTTTAGTTTTTGTATGTACAGTATTGCAAAAAGAAAATAAAGTACTATATACATGTATTGCCAGGAGTCATACAATATTGTAATGTCCCAATTACAAAAGCCCCTTATTTATTTAAAACCCTAGTTATTTGTAGGATTCGTATTAGTATTTGTACTACAAACTGACACATGTACCTGACTTCAGCTTTTGCGGCTAGGTAGTCAACCTGCACTGAAGACAACACAAGTACTTCACATGCTTGCTCAAAGACATGCCTGTTCAGTCAGTACTCTGTATTTAGACAGTATTTATTTAGCCACTATTTAATATTCAGAATTTTATGAATGAATGAACTAGTACTGAAAGCCAGTCCATTGAACTGAAGAATCGTACATTGTATGTGATGTTTTGCCTGCCCCATGATTCCAGAGGATGGGAAAGTAGTAGCAGATCAGGCTTTTTGCCTCAATGTATTGATGATGTCATGCCCCCAGTGCTTTACTGTGGACACCTAATGTGACCTGGTCGTTATGGCAATGCAGAAATCCTCAGGGATTCCATGATTTAAACTCATGGCTCGGACAAAGAGAAAATTCCAAACTATGACAGTTCCAGAATATGAGACAAAAACATAAACAGACACACCGCAGAAAACAACAACCAAAAAAAACAAAACAGGTGGCCCATTTCTCCTTCAGAAGGTCCCGACTTCAGACATTACAGCATTAGTCTATTAGGAGCTTAAACCTTGGTAAAGCATACTACAGTTATGCACATTATAAGATTATTGTTTTATAACATTCCATGAATAACAGAGAAAAACGCTGCTGCTGGCAGACTAACCCTGTTCTGCATAATCATTTAGACACCATCTGAAAACATCATTGATTTAAATATTAAAGAGAAGAGGCTCAAATAAAATTCCATGCATGCTTAATTCTCCTGTGCGGTTAGAAAAAGCCTTTATTCTTTATCCAGTCTTATGTTACACGCTGGACTGTCTTTGCTTTGACCACCTCATAAAATAGGGCTCATAAATATTTTTCATGTGTTATTTAAACTAACTCAACTCCCTGTGGCAATGGGGTTTGATGTTTTTGAAATATCCTCTGAGGCTTTCAGAAGCATTTTCAGAGCAGAAGTGTTATTATAAATGCTTGGGCCAGCTGTAAAGAGAACACACTATTAGTGAAGTGTTTTATTTTTATGGCCTGTTAGAATTATTGCATGTGTCTCAATTACTAGAATGTAGTGTCCACTTCTGTCCTCTTCAGCAAGGAGAGCTGTCTGTTAAAAGCTGGTTTGCTTTTATGTATGGTTATAAGTTATATATAATACACACAGAATGCCAAAGAGCACTCAGGACTTGTTTAACCCACAGACAGGCCATTTTATTAGATTTCTTGTAAGAAATATGTACATAGCTTGCTTGCAGAAAATGTCCTTTTCTGCTTATCTGTGGAAGAACAATATTTTATCATGTTAATACTGTAATTCAGTGCCTGCATTACATTTAAAAGAAGTTATTAGAAGATATTGTCTGGTATAACATTCCATGTCCTCATACAGTATCTTATATGTGTAATTGATTGTGAAAAGAAGATGTCAGCTGTATCAAGTATATTCTTACTTAAAATGATTTAAATCCCAGTAACACTTCTTTAATGAGAACTGCTTACTTGCTCAATAGCATCTGTGATTTGAAAGAGCACACTTGCAGTATGATGATGATTTACTTGTCATGCTGATTCGTTTTAAAGATCTTTCCATTTGGCCTTGTTGGGCAGAAATGATTTGTGAAAGCCATTGTAAAGCCGTCCAGACCGAGCGCTAGAAAACGTGTCAGTGTTGTAAAACAGTGTGGAATTAGCTTGGCTAGTTGGCATGTTCACACCTATCCACAAGTACTGTGGGTTGGACAAATAAAGCACAACCATATGAGGTGACACAGAGCCAAATCCATTTAGTGTGTTGAATATTCACTGATTGATAGTGGCTTACAGGCAGAAACTTCTACTGATAACTGAGCACAGAGGCAAGCCAAAAACAGTTGTTTGGATAAAGCTGCCAGAGAGTTTCCTCCTCCGATTCACATGCAAAAAGAACTATGAACACAAAATGCATTGGCTCAAATTACTGTGAACACACTACATCACAGTTCCTAGAGACTTGGAAATTGTTGTGGAAATGGGAGCACGTGCTCTGTGCTTCTTATCATTGCGGTTGGCTTGTTTGGTAGAGAAATATCCTTTTAAAACCCAACGATGACAGTTGTATCTGCCTAGCATTGTGCTTTTCATTGCTTTTTGCCCAAATGTCAGCATTCAGTCTTCAGAAACATTCATTTTCATTCCTGCTTTGGCAGCAGTTACTTGGCGATACACTTTTGACTGCTCCAGTTTTTTCTTAAAAAGAAATTAACAAGGACAAACACCAGTGCACCCAGACTGCTTTCATGATGAAGTCCCCAGAACCATGTTCCTCCTAGTCCTACAGCATGCATTATTTTTTTGTGTAGCATTGGGATTAAAATCTCTTTTGAATTAAATCTAAATTTTGCTTTTATGCATTTAAAAACATAGACATATGCTGCTTTGCATACTACCAAGAAATTCACTATACACTGCCATTACTCTCTCACCATCAGAGGTAGTGGGTGTCTGCAGAGTGAGACAATAGCATCTTTGCAGGACCTGAAGCTCAACCGTAAACTATTGGCTTGTTTAAAGTTGTTATTTATTATCATCACAATTCCTAGAAGTGTAAGGTACTAGAGGTGTCTTATATTTAACTGAAAAATAAATGAATGTATAATGTATACAAGGTATATAATTACTTTTTAAATTATTTATTATGGTATTTGTTTTCCCTTTTAGAAACATTTTTGAGGTTGAGTCTGATCAAATAATCTCAGAAAAAGGGAACTCATTCTGCACAGATCCTTCCCTATAAAACCGTACATGCAGTGTATCTAGGAAAATGGTGATCACCAATGCTTATTAATACAAACCTAAAAGTCTAACTTTGTTCTTTTTCAGTTTCTGTACACATGCATCCTACATTGTTCAATTCAAGAACTATTAAATATTTAACTGACTTTAAACTAACTTATCTGAGAAACCCGAGGCTTGACTTAAAATATAAAGTTTATCTGTGTAATCAATTACACATTTTATACCAATTTCATTTTACATTTAGAATATTCCTTTATTTCCTTTATACAGTATAATCAATGCATATGACAAAGAATCATTTCATTCTGTGAGTTGCTGTCTGTTCTTAGCCACATTATACTCCACGAGCTGATTGACATACCATTAGGTGAGAGCATCTACTTTTCTATCTGTATCTCTAGTCTAATCATGCTGCATGTGATCTTATTTCAGAGGATTTCCTGACATAAATTTTTAGAACTGATAAGACCATTGGATCTTGTTCAGTTATTGGTTGTGGCAGAAAACTAGTTAGCAGCACTCCGGATTTCCTCTTCTCTATTATGTTCCAGTCAGGAGACGAAAGGTTTCCTAAACTGTGGACATTTCAGGTTTGCTCTGTCACAAATCCTTCAGGCAGGTCATTCAATCACGCACCAAAAACAAGCAAGGAAACAGGGAGACGGACAATGAACACAACCATATTTCTCCTGATGGCAAAACAGGCAGGAAGAAAAGAAGGAAAGATATATTGCTCCTTTGAGTGCAAATCCCTCTAAAATAAAAGGTGTAGAACAACATGAGAGGAGTTAAGAGATAGGGTATTTCCAAAACCTTCAAGTCGTTAGAGAAGGAAAGTAATATTCTATATTAAAAAAATTGAAAAAATAAGTGTTCTTTTCTGATCTGATTATGGTTTTAAGGTTGAGATATATTTATGTGTGGATAGTTTTTTTGATAGTATGAGTGGAGGCTGTTCCTATACATTGGATAATAATATACTATATCGTATAAAACCACAATAATTTGTATGTTTTTATAATATACTATAATATGCAGATGCAAATCGTCTCCACCAACTACCTAAAACCAATAATATCCACCCAAAATAAATTCTACATAACCTAATGCTGCCTTGTCACTGATAAATGTATACTGTATGTTGCTCAGCTTTGCTCTAAAACCGTCATTGCAGTGATTTAAAACTTACTCTCCTACTCCTACTTTGAAGTTAACGTCTTAAGCAATTGTACAATAATATGCAAACAGCAATTCATAGAAATACCTCTAGATTGAAAGCTGATTTAACCTCCAGTATGTCATATTGTTAGGAAAAAATTATCTATAAAATTCATTATTTGCTTGACTTTTTGTAAGTGGTTTTTAATTAAACGATTCTGACCAACTCCAATGCTACAATTCATTTTGATTAGTAATTCCTTCAACAACACAAATTTAATGTTTGCTGTTAAATATTTGCTTGTTAAAGATACATATTGAAGGTGCTTCCATTAGATATTGACACCAATTTAACAGTTACATATGAATAAGAATCTCTTATCCAACTGGATCTGATTTACTATATTCAGTTCTAGCTTCACAGATTCAAAGTGATACGGTTCTTGAAGTCAAGATCATATAATACCCAAGAACTTTATTCTTCCCCCTCTCTCATTTACTCAAGTTTATAAGCATTTTTAACTACACAGATTGCAATCAAATTAATATTTATTAAGTCAAATATTCATTCACGAAAGGTATTAACTTATTTTGGTATCAAAAATTTTAACATTTAATATTTTACTATCCTTTATAAACTGTTTTAGCATTCTATAAATACCAACATTTTCATTAACATATAAGCATTGTTAAAAAACGAAATCTACCTTAACAGTTCACAAATCAATTTTATTAATTTAAACACAAATTAATGCCAAAAAAATCTGTACACATCTTTTGCAGACACAACAAACTTTTTGTTTTAACAGTGAGGCCCAGGTAATGTTGATTTCCAGTCTGCGTCATGATTGAAATATAAAAAAAAGCTTGCCGTTTGTTTCTAAAAAAAAACACTGAAATGTCTACTGTTACCTCAATCTAGCAGCAATATGTAACCCCCATTATAAAGGGGAGATGCTTTTTAAATAAAATAAGCAAATTTGCAAAAGTGAAGAAAAGTTGGTGCAAAAAAGATCAGGTACAAGACTGAAAGGTAACAAACAACAGAAATGAGCTTCTTCTACAGTGATCATATTGAGGGGAAATAAGAAATAATCTAAAGGTTCAGTAAGTTCCAGGGCATGAAATTCACAGTTCATAGGACATGTATTGTATTGTATGTTCCAAGTTTTACTGTTTACAAATAGTGGTCCTTTCAAGGCCAAATACGTATGAAACATCATTCAATAATTATGTTAATAATATTAACAACATATTTATTTAATAAACATATACCGCATATTAAGATGGACATGGATATAGTTAAAAATCACAATATCTTTTACTTTCGTTTAAATTGCTTTTTATACAAAAGACTAGATATTGTATATACGATTTCTCTCTCACTTTGTATGCATATATTACTCCCTCTGTGTTGTTTAATTTGTGAATGAAAAGGGTGTGTGTTTGTGTGTGTCAGGGGGCTATAACCCCAATGTGTTCAAGTAGTTTCACTATCATCTGCAAAAACAGCTTTATTGTATTGTTTTAATTTTCAGAAATATATTTTATCTTTCAATATTGTATACATTAATTTACTCAGCTATGTTTATTCATTCAATCTTTAAAGTTTTGCCAGAACAAAACATACTAAGGACACCATTAACAGAAAGTCAGACTTCAACAGTACGATTTTTAAGAATAGCCATTTGTTCTATTTTATTTCCATATTTTCATGATTTTTAATGTGGAAATTCAAGGCCATCACTGACTGTAACAGAAAAACAGTGACCTTAGGTAGAGAAAAAGCACAAGAGTTTGAAAAAAATAATCATTGACACGTGACATCCATGCTTTTGGTTTTGACAAAACAAGTTATCACAAATTTCATTATCTACATATTTATAATGAACAAAAACTCAAATGCATCAACACTTTAAGGCACAGCACAAATGGATGTGCATCCAAAGCCTTTTATACTTCAATTACAAGGGCATTTCTGCCTTCCAATAGTTTGTACCTAAAGAAACTGAATAGGAATAGTCCAGTGACTACAAATTTACACACACACAAAAAGATCTCCTCTGTACAAGATTGTCTCAGCGATGTAAAGTTATTTTTTCATTATTCTTCTCTTAAATTACTAGAAACCCTTTTTTATAGTGTACTTCTGGATGCGACGGAACTAAATGTGCTTTGTACTGTACTGTCGAAAGGCACCAGTCTGTGTAGTTGCACCTTCATTGGACTTTGCAGATCACAAATTCTCAGTTCATAAATAAGAAGCACGGAAATACCCAGGGCGATAGTGATCGAAAGGAGAGCTTCTCCATAAGCAGATGTACTCCACAGTCTTTGTCCCGTTTAGCTGTGAGAGAGAGGGAGCCAGAGCCTGCCAAGGCAGTGTGCGATTTGAAGTCTCACTTAGGAAGGCGTCGGTAGCTCTGATTCTTTCACAGGTGTGAACCCTTTGCTGAGGCGGAATACAGACAGGGCTGTAAAACATTTTGATGGCTTTTGAAATGAGCCAATTCACAGTACCCGGCCCCGGCAGCTGCACTGCCATAAATTAATTCTCCTCAATTTAGAAGAAGGTGAAAGGTTAAGACAAATTGTGGCCGTATGTCAGCACTCTGGGCGTGTTGCTCAGTTTTAAGTGGGATGCAGACACAAGACACAGGAGTTTTGTTATGAGGTCTGTGGACAGGCGTGGGATGAGGCTCTGAGGTTCCAGACAGCCGCCGCAGTGCTACAAATATTCCAGTTCCAAAGCGTGATGGAGGGCCATGAGGTCGGAGTGACTGGAGATTCTCCAGAAAGGCATGTTGTGCTGTGAACAAAGCAAACAACCAAAGTAAGCAAACATTCCTTAATCTGGAAAAACAATCACGCCTATAAACTATTCCTTGCTGTGACATTCTTCACACTGGAAACGCAATGTAGGCTTTGCATTGGAAGGAAGGATTTCCAGACTGTCAAGTTTAATGCTCTGGCACCACTTTCTGCTTCCATTATTGCCTTCCCATTGTATTTATAAGTTCTACAAATAAAAAAAAACAAAGAACGAATGTAATTCATCTTACAATGACAACGTTAAGGGTGTGCGAGAAGTAAAAATCAGGGAAATATAAGAATTAAGTAGTACATAAATATGCACTAAAAAGGTATGTAAAATTATTTTCGTCACAAAACAATAGTAATTGTTTGGTACTTCTTGCCTTATTGCAGTTTATTTAAATGTGTAACGTTTTTACACAGATTATGTAGCACAGGCTACAATTCGCCGCAGCTGGAGCCATTAAAGCTTTGGGTACAAATGCAAATGAGGTTTTGTTCATTCAGAAATAACCCCGGGAAATCTGTGAAGGAAATCTGACTCTCAGGTGGTTTTGTAAAGGGCCTGTCATGGGAAATCTTCAGGCTTACTGCTCGGCCCATTACCTGTCCTTATCACAGGCACAACAGTCTCAGCAGGCATGCGTTCCACTGAGTACAGCTTGCGCTGACCCTAAAAATGCACTTTTCCTTTTGTTTTGTAAATTGCCTTTACTTCAAAGTTTAAAAGCCAAAGACATTATCTCATTTCTCATTCACAAAAATAAAAAAAAAAACCATGAGGGCTCCAGTGTGGATGTTTTGCAGGATCCTTTTAGAGTGCTGTTCCATGCATGCTTACGTTAAAGAATGTGCAATGCTGTGTACAAGGTCACTTCTGATACGGCGTTCACTTCCTGGACCACTAGCGCAGGTAAGCTGCTAGAGAAGCCTTTCAATTTATAGCTTCCCTTGGGGTAAAACTGAAAGTCATTACCCTTTCACATTACATGTCACTTTTACTTGTGCCGCGCAGACATTAATGGATCCCTTTTGCTTTCATCAATAATGGTCGGACATCTGTATAAAGACTTGGCTTCATAATAGATGCCACTGCTTTACGGCCTTCGCTCCTAAGCACGGCTACCAGTCACATAATAGGTTTGCTTTATTGGCAAGTTCATGAGTTCAGTACATGATTGAGAGAATCCCCTCACATTCGGTAAGATTTCACTGGCAGACTTCCAGGGCCCTGGTGATTTAGTTAAACAACAAAAACTCCTGCTTGGACATGTCCGTCCCGTGTACGAAGTTTTATTTTTCTTTACCCCACGCCACATCATTGAAAAACCTTTTTTTTTCTCCTCACTCTTCATTGCCTTTCACTTCAGAAACCTACCTGTCAGGTAAATAGGTCAGGTCTCTGCCTGCTAGCTAATTAACATTTTCAAGGATGTGGTTATTGTGAGGGAATTTGGTTTACATCAAAGACTCTTAGAAAAGCTGAATACACAATTCTTGTCACCAGGCAGCAGGTAACATAAATCTCTTCATTCAAACAACAAAAGAAAAACAAAATGCACTCAGATGTTGAAGTGTCTGAGCAGCAATCAAACCACAAGCTGATGTACATCAAAGTCTTCAGCCAGTCAAGTTCCCTTGTTCCTGCTATAATATGCTTGTCATTTGCGTAAATATCCTAATTTCATCCACAAAGATTTAAGCCTCTTAAATACATGTTCTATTTATGTGTAAGCCTTCTCTCAATACATACCTGAAAGGACTTGTCTAGCATTACACATATTTATATAACATAGTGGTTTGAACAGAAATTCTATGTAATTATAACTTGCTGTCCACTCTTTTGTTTAGTTGGGTTTTTGTCCGTCTTGAGAATGTGCTAATTCAATCAAGGTCTTTCTCAGAAAAAAAAAAGAAGAAAAAAAATCTAAGCTCTTGATGATGATCACGATGATGATGACACAGGCAACAACAAGAAGAAAATGAATGAAAGCAGGAGCATGTTTTTCTATTTGTTTTTCAGAAATCATGTCAAATATGACTAGCTTGTCAAAACCGTGAAATGCCTGTTACCTTTTTAGATCCCTGCTCCTCTTCCACTCCATCTCCCACGACAACATATACTACTTTCCTTCCAAACCTCTGGATTATCCTTTCAAAACAACTTTCTTTTCCTGAAGACAAGAAGAATCAGTGTCAATTTTATATCTTTATTTTATATATCATTTTATTTCTGCTTTAACTTCTTACAGTTAAAATGTTCATGAACAATTTTCTTGAAATTAGTACAATTAAGAATATTCAAGCAAGTAGCTGAACAGCATTTTATTATGACTGCAAGAAGCCTGGACACTTCAGAGTGCAAATTAAAGTACACTAATATATTATAACAATCACATATTATAATATGTTCTCATTACATTAATAATAGTAATATGGTATAATATATGAATATAATAATATATTGTAATTTAACTATAATAAGAATAACAATAATATAAACACTTATTATTGATAATAACAAATACAATAAGCGTGCTTGCTAAAAACAGCAAAAATGTGGAGGTTTATGTTTATTTTGAATTCAAAACACCAAGAAAGTCGATGCGGAATGACATGAATTTGCAGAAGTGGTTTCATATGCATGTCTGAAAAGGAGAGGCCCTGTTCAGGCCAGAGTCCAAGAAAATAATCTCAGTCTGATTAGACCTCTTCCTTAGAACTAAACATCAACCCTCTCGTATGTCCCCTCTCTCCAGAATAACAAAATCGCACAAAATTTGGTTCAGTTGGCTTTCTACGGATTATAAACTGCTGTTTGTACATCACATTAAATTCATCACAGCAAAGTGCAATGGCTTCAAATGAATGTACTACACTACTGGAATGTTATCTTCAGCCCATAGACATGCTAAACAGGCATTACTCATATATTTCACTCTACATAATATAAATACATATATGAAAGATACATACCTATTTTTGTTGCACTATAAATATTTTCTATTGGAAATACTATTCCCAGTCCATAAAGCAAGACTTTTGCAAGAGCAGGTATGAGTTGCGTTGTTGTAACTAAGATATTGACACAGTTTGACCTGTAGGAGAAAGCAAAAATGCACAACCATATATATATATGACTTTTTAATCCTTCTTTAGATAATAACCTTTAGTTAATAAGCTGCACAGAGTATATTCAGATGTATTCAGACAATTGTGCATTTTAGAAAAAGGAGTCTATCTCTATCTTGAATTTTGGACTCCTCCTCATACTCTATGCATTGCAAATGTAAAAAAAATAAATGCATGAATTGGAACTTGTTTTTCCACATGCACAATCTCAGAACTACCAAATAAATACTACTGAATCCACTTCCATGAAAAAAAAAATGTTTTTTTAAAATTCAGAGGGCATTTCATAAACCACATACACCTATCACCTGATGGCATCTTCTTTTACGGGTGTTTTCATTAAACTTCATTAAACTAACCAAGACAAAAACCTGGTTTTAAGGAAAGACATATAGATGTGCAAAGGTTTTACCTAGAGTGAATTAGTGTGAGCGCTTTCAGTGCCAGTGTTAACCAGGAGTCTGTCAGGGCTTCAATTTCAGCTCGCAATTGCAACCAGGCTTCCCTTTTGGCTGGGCCGAGCAGACCTGAAAAGTGTAAGCACTGTTTGAACTGGAACATCATTCAGATGTTTTCACTTGTCAAAATTTAAACCGACCTAGGAGTACTTAAAATAGATTTAAAAAAAAAAAAACAGGAGTTCCTTCACACACACTTCCCCCCCTTCAGCAATTCGATGATCTTGTTGATCGGAAATTACCTCCAACGTTGTTTTTGTAAGTGGTGTAAATTTCTTTTACTCGTCTGTAACGGAAGGCGAGCTTTCTCATCCAGTCCACTCCACCTCGTACCCCAGTCGCCAGGCAGAGATTCGCGCTTGTGGCGGCTGCGTGGAAACCGTCTGTGGCGAAGTTGTACGTGCTGCCAACGGGGGGGAAGAGGTTGACATCATGTCACGGTCAAAGAGAAGCCACCCTCCCCACTGTCTCTCCAACATCCACATGAACAGAAGCAGAAGACACTCTTTACCTCAGGTCCTGGCCATTGTCGTCTGAAGAGACGTCATCAATGTGGACCTGATCACACTCCTGAAAAAACAAAGCAAACAGACTGTAGAGCAGACATCAGAGGTTACTGCATGCTTGCATTTGTTCCAGACATCTAAAACAACTGGCGTTAGGAGATACAGTATTGAAGGCAAAGCAGCCTGGAACTCATGAAATGTTTCAGAGCTTTGCTCACATTGTTAATGATGTTATCTATTCACAGTGGAACATGACTGCCCCTAAACCATCCCCCTTCAAAAAAAAAAATAATACAATGAAAATGTCCGAGAACGGTGTGTGAGCAGTCTTTGCCATTAGGTTTCTTCCACTAGGGGGCTCTCTTTGACATGCCAGCTTCTGTTCTAAATTCAAAGTATTATTAACAGGTTTACATAAACAGCACCCAGGTACAGGCAGTTCTAGATTAATATATACTTTCTAACTATGTTTAGGAACAAAGATCTTAAATTAGTATCCGTGTTCCTTTTAGGATCTCTCCTTAAAAATGCCTGAACCTTCCTGGTCCTCTGAGCTGATTCAGTCAGTGTGCGCAGTAACACAAACCAGACTTTCTGGTAAATGTAACGTACTAGAAAAATTGAACCTGATGCTAACCGCCAATGAAATTATGACCTCTGATTGCTGCTGAGCCACACACCAACACAGCCTGAGGCCAGTTTTCTTGAGAGAGCAGACTGAAAATCTGTTATTAGTTTACCATTTATAGGAGTCGCATTTTTCCCCCTCAGAAGTATAAAACGTTAGAAAGCCTTGCTCAAGCATCCAGATCAACAATTTTTGCAAGGAGAGAGATTGAAATCTTTCTCTTTTTTTCTCGTAACCAAACCATGAATCCTGCTAGCACTGTACAGCAGTACTGAATTGTAGTAAGGGGAGCACAGCATTGACTAGGAATTTCTGTCATTTCTGCATGGATCACGTTGTCCTGTGAATCACAATGGTATTTCCATAAGCGTATGCGTAAGAACAAGTAATAATGTTTGTAGATTTTGAGAATTATTAAGATTTTCCACAGCTACCATTCACTCAACAGAAACTAACCTGAAAAAGAATTTTAAGAGCTCTCAAAATACGTATCTACAAATCAACACACATACAGTATTTGTAGCCAAAATGCAGAATCTGAAGCCACATACATTACTTTTACATAATACATATTTGAGGTTTCAATGGAATAATGCTAAGAGACATTATACTTATCCCTCTTCTTTTAATCAAGTTTTTAAGTTATGTAAGTAAAACCAATTTCGCAAACGGACTTTTCCTTCTGTAAGATGAAGTCTTCCGTTAAGCTTCACAAAACTGGTAAGACACTAAAAATTGAAAAAAATTACTTCCTTGTTGTTGCTTCAGCTAAACCTGGCCAAATGCTGACGTTACTGCATTCCTGTCTAATGCTACAGCAGGGTAAGGGTAAGGACTTTAGACCATAAACCTTTTTTATTTTACTGGTTCCCCTCTGAACAAATTTTTCATCTCCCTAGATTTGTGGGTAAGGGAGGGGAGCAAGACGTGAGGAGAAACTCAAACCAGCTGTTCCTTAACAGAATTAAAATCGTGACCCTCAGCCCCTGCTCTAATGCAGCCATTCTCTCGCCAAGCCTCTCCCAGCAAGCCGCAAGATCCAAAGAGGAAAAGACTTTGACCCTGTAACCTTCTCCTCCTCTCCAGAGGTCAACAACTTCAGATAAGGGGAAAAAGAAAGTCAAAGCGGCCTCACATGAAGGGCTATGAACACTGCATTTTAAAAGATAGGCTGCCAATTGAAGACATGGTTCAGGAACTCCTCAAGTTGTTTGTGTAATCTGTTTTTGGGACAAAACCCTGAATGTTTTTTAAATGCGAAAGGGCCACCAATTTGTCATGGGTAACACTGGTTGCCTGGTGCCTTGTTCTGTTTTCAAAGTGGAATTGCAATCATGATTTTACGCCCTTTTTAAACGTTTCACACAGTGAGCTGAGTTTTCTCCTGATCTTTTGCGGGAAAAACAAGCTTTAATCCTCTGAATTGGTGCGGAGGGCGTGTTTGTACGCACTGGCAAGCCAAAACCTAAAATTACACAGTTAACACAGATAGAGAGGGAACTTTTTAGGGCCCATTCAACTGTTAATCCTTGGAATGGCTCAATTATCTGCTAATTGACTGGTAACGAATCTAATACAATCACACGTTTTCAAAATCTTTTGCAAATCCTGTCCTATTTGTTTTATTGGAACTTCTTAGTTTAAAGGAGAGCCATTAATTTGCAGCAATCTTGAGCTGTAGGTGTGCCTCCTTTTCACACCTGTTGATCTCATAGAAAAACACTTTGTCTCCTTAGTCTCTGTCGCAGCCATTGTAATAAGGATGACTTCAGCTTAATGTGCATTGCTCCATGGAACTGTTCATCTGTTATTTCTTTTCTCTGAAAGCTTGGCTTGATAGTTGTGTTACAGCAAAATTGCCTGTGTTGGTTTTATTAGCTTTTTTGTTTACACAGGAAACTACCGACAGTGGAAAAGTGTGATAATTACTATTTAAAAAAAGAAACGACTGAGTTAACATAAGCATATCAAATGCTTTAACATGAGGTGTGATTACAAGACACATAAAATACAAAAACATTGCTTTCCAAAGAGGATCAAAAAGCAACATAATAAGGAAACAAAAACACTCATAAACTATAAAGGCAACAACTTTATAGCTTTTTTTTTTAAAAGTGGTATTTCTAAATCCGCCTTTCATATTAACTCCGGCTGAATAATTTGCAGCACGAGCTTTTTTACAAACTCAAGTGTGAATTTATGTTAGTAGCCAGGTAATCGAAAAAACTCAGAAGAATTGCACTGAGATTGTACTTGTACAAAACAAGTGAATCAGAGCTACAATAAACAATTTCTTATCTTCATTTACTCATGATAAAAAACACCATTTTCCTTATCTTCCAGATCTTAGCTGAAAGCTAGAATTTTTAAAATCTCGAATAGAGTTTTATTTACAGGTTTTATATACATTTAGGCGGCAGTGTGGAAAATGGTTAGGGTACTGGTCTTGTAACTGAGGTTAACTGGTTCAAATCCCAGGTAGAACGCTGCAGTCGAATCCTTGACGGAGGTTCTTTCTTCCCTTAGATTCACTCAGTAAAATAACAAGCTGTACTGGATAAAAACTTCAATCACATATTATTAACAGTTCGTTGCGTTTTGAATTATTATTTGAGGCTGTGCCCCTCTATTTAGAAAAAAAAGACAAAAAAATCCAAATCTAGAAGAAAGTGCGTTTGGTAAAGCGAATTCTCAGACATTTCAAACCCTTTTTTAAAAGACAAATATTACACCCCTTCCCCCTCAACTGCGCTCTCACATACTTGTAGTATCAGAACAGGACTAGCCGGAGAAGCACTCGTGAAGCTCAGAGGCCCAGAGTTTCTAGAACTTCTCAGAATATCTCCAATGGTCAGTTTACAATTCATCAGATCTGCGCTCAATCGCTGTAAAGGAACTCACTACTTTTTCACTTCTATATTACCCCTTTTATAACAGAAAGTAATTGCAGTTATTTATATTAACTACTTTACCTTTACCTACTTTACCTTTGCCTACTGCCCTGTCTCTCTCACACCTGAAGAAGGCTCCACGGCCGAAACGTTGTGTTCTCTTTCTTCTTTTTTTCAGCATGGAATAAACCTATTACTTGTTATTTATATTATATTTTTATATAATACAGCATAATTGAAGTTTATAATATTTTGCAGATATAAGTTGATTTGCATAGCTTATTAAATATACTCATGGTAAAAATACATATATGGTATAGGAGAGCTTTTTCCCTGTATACACATTTTTCATTATCTGCAGGCAGTTCAGGAACATACTGTATCTCCCATGAATAAGAACCACTGGGTGTATTGATTACGATTGATTTTCGATTAGTATATGCAAGTTAAACCAGAAGAATGTAGCTCGAGAATACCACATTAATCTAAAAAGACTGCTGTAGTTGACAGTTGTGTAGATTACTGTTTTGGATCTTGGGATTTTGTTATCTTGGAAGATCCTCTTTAGCTGGTAGCTCTCCCTCTGTCGTGACAGCAGTGCTCAACACTGTGCCTTGGCGCATCATATTTACATGCTTTTCAAGACATCTTTTTATTTAGCGGTTACTACAGTGTACAATTAACACAACATTTGAGATTTGTGGGATGTTGGACCTCCAAGAAGAAGGAGAAACCAGAAAAAGAATGCGCAACCACTAGCAATTACTGAGAACAGCTGGCACTTGAAGAAACCACTTCAGTACCTTGCACACAGTTATGAATCTCCCTAATGAAAATGACTAAGCTCACTGTCATACAGCAGCACACTTACGAGATGTAACCTTCAAGCATTAATAAATACAAAGTTAAAAGTGTTGCATAAAAGTAATAACTACATGCAACTCATATTTACAAAAAATTATATATGATTAAATATAGACAGGTAATTGGTATCATTAACGAGTATTTCTGAGATGAATGAGAGGTTGCTGAAGGCAAATGGACTACCAGACGCAAGTCTCCTGGTGTCCACAGAAACAGACAGCACAATAAGCAACCCACTTAGCTATGCAGGTATCGGTCCCTCTTAATCTTGCCAGATGTAAACACAGTTATGTGCTTTCAAATGTAAAGCTTTTTTTTTTTCTAAAACAAGCAGTAGTCCTCACCGAAGTTTGTCGTGACACATTACAAACCTGAAAATCACAGCTAACTCAGACCAGATGTTACTACTACACAGCCGGCAAAGATCTCCTGAAAAAAGAATTCATACCTACTTTTTTCTTAAAGCAAACTCTTTATTTGACTGTTGGAGGGTCCCTCGTCTTTTTACGACTCTTTGCTTCATTGTTAACATCTTGAGAGATTCACCCGAGGAAACAACACAGACGGACATAAATTGAGAGTCCCCCCCCAAAAATGGAAGCAGCAACTGAAAAACAAACACCTTCAAGCCCTTGTGTTTTTATTTTTTCTTTGGTACATTTCCTTTTTCTATTCAGGCCT